ATACTTTGAATTGTATTTCTAATTTAGGACTTTCGACTTCCTCTAGAGCAAAACATAATCAAATGGACAAATTTTGGAGTAATTCTAGTTGGAGGACGTTCGTGAGTCACTTGGCTTGATCAAAATATCAAAATTTTCCACCAAGCGGTTATTTTCTAGCGATAAAATAAATGAGCAATGTGCTATACTGGAATAGTGACGTTTTGGGCTTTATTTGAGTTTTTGGAGCCCAAGATGACCTCGGATGGTTTCGTGGCCTTCTGGAGATGTGTTTAGAACGTCCTGATCCTTAAAATGAGCTATCTCGGGCCGGATTTGGAGGAGATTTGAGGCTAAAACGTGACTGGACAGTTTCTGTGCAGTTTATCCTAACTCAATTAGGACTTTATGTTTTAATATATTTTATTACCAGTTAGCTTCCTAGTGGAAATAAGAGACTTGGTTCCTAGGGTTTGTGCAACTGGCTTTGAGAGAGATATTTAAGGTTTTAGTCAACCCTAGTTTGCGACTACGCTTTCTTTTATGAAATTTTGGAGACAGAGAGTGATTGCTAGGGTTCTTGAAGATTTTCTACTTTAAGGTGTTTTCATTCCTTTTATTCTTAATAATATTTTCCATGATTTCAATTATGACTATGCGTAACTAATTCCTTTTGCTAGGGTTAGGCCATGAATCTTAGCATGAATATGTAATTTTATTAATTTGCTTATGAATGGATGCATGCTTGCTTGGAATTATTAATCACTGCGATTAAAACTATCTATATATTTTAATGATTGATCACCATTAGGGTATTTAGACAAGTAATTTGATGCAATTTATGTTGGAACATCACTCTGAAATTGAGGAGGGCTTCTTGTGATTAATAATTGTAAGTTCACTTAAGGCGAACATCACGCTCTCAAGGGTTGCATGGTTTTTCAAAGGGTTTTCACGAAGCTTAATGCGTTTTGCATGTTTATATTTGATCTGAACATCACAAACGAATTGCATGTTAGATATACGTTTTCGCTTGAACATCACAAGGAAAATATGCATTAGGAAAACCTAACCTTCAAAGTATGGATGTGGAAATTCATAAGTAATTGATAGAATTGTATAGGATTGTGACGGTGACAGCTAAACCCTAGTCTTTCCCGAAATTGATTTTAATTAAAAAACGTTTTTCTGTTTGCTGCCTTTATTTTCTAACTTCTAGGTTTCTTTAATTGTTAATTCAATATTTTCAAACTCAAAAATTTCAAATCTTTGATAAAAATATGTTTTAATAGTTAATGAAGAGTTGATTTAATTATGAATTATTCAAACAATCTTTGGGGACAACAACCTTGCTTGAGCAATTATACTACAATTACCTTGTATTCTTGCAAGTATTTTCAGTGATTTTAACCCTATTTGCGCAGGTACAAAAAATCCTATCAACTCCTGAAAAGCATGAGAAAATTGCCGCAATCAGAATTTCAAATGAAAGATCTTGGGAAACTAGATATTGTCTCGGCATTAGTACATTAGTTGAACTACACCCAGAAGGTGTTGCATCATTTTAACGAGTATAAAGCGAAGCCTTCAAGTACTCTTATGGCCATTCAATCGCTTGATGCTAAACGAGATCCCTTATGTCATAAGGAGGATGAGGAAGATATTTTGGAACCTGAAGTTCCATATCTAAGTGGAATTGGCACTTTATTGTACTTAGCTCAGTGCATTAAACTCAACATCTATTTCGCTGTCAATCTTTTGGCAAGATACAACAATGCGCCCAAACACATACACTGAATATGTGTTAAAGACATCTTCCGCTACCTCAAAGGTGCACTAATTTAGGTTTGTTCTATCCTTACGAATCTTCAAGAGGTGACGTGTAACGTCCCGTATTTTAAGTTGTATTTGTGGATATTATTATTATTATTTCTAATTAGAATGAACCAAAGATAAGCTTTTACATAACTGTTCACATGTTAAACCTAATAGTGAGAGGTGTCATTACTATTTTTTGGATGTGGCATAATTTGGAGCAATTGGCAAATAAGGTTGGCAGTTGTCAAACCCATGGCATGGAGGTATAAAGATTAGCAGGAGGTGGCATATTGATTACATGCAAATTTTGTAGATAATAAAGCTCCACCATTTTTCCCATTTTATTTCCGTAGGATAAGAATGTTACTTTCATCATCATTCTGATTTTATGACCATGTGTCTTGACCTAGTTTTTACACTTGATAGCCACTTGTTCATCTCACCTTTGCCCATTTCTTACAGTCATCTTGGAATCCACTTGTCCACCTAGCATGCGTTAGTGTAATTTTATCCATGCATAATATCTCACATTAGCCGCCAAGCCAACCAATTGGAGGTCATAGTTGACCGTTTCCTACTAGTATAAATAGGAGCTTTGCTCCATTGTTTTTGGAGCATAAAAAGAAGGCAGCATGCAGAGCATGCATGTTACACGAAGAGAGAGAGAGCTAGGGTTTGTTGCAGGGAGATTGTTAATGAGTTGTCTTGCCAAGATTCGAGTTATCAAGGTAAGTGTGTCACATCCCGACCCGGGGCGGATCACTTCCCAGGCCCGCTCCACCACCGTAACACGATATTGTCCGTTTTGGGCTTACCATTCCTTCACGGTTTTGTTTTTGAGAACTCACGAGCAACTTCCCAGTGGGTCACCCATCATGGGAGTGCTCTAGCCCCCTTCTCGCTTAACTTCGGAGTTCCTACGGAACCCGAAGCTAGTGAGCTCCCAAAAGGCCTCATGCTTGGTAGGAATAGGAATATACATATAAGGATCACACCCCTGGGCGATGTGGGATGTCACAATCCACCCCCTTTAGGGGCCCGACGTCCTCGTCGGCACACCACGGCCAGGGTTAGGCTCTGATACCAAATTGTCACATCCCGGCCCGGGGCGGAACCACTTCCCGGGCCTGCTCCACCACCGTAGCACGATATTATCCGCTTTGGGCTTACCATTCCCTCACGGTTTTGTTTTTGGGAACTCACACAAGAACTTCCCGATGGGTCACCCATCCTGGGAATGCTCTAGCCCCCTTCTCGCTTAACTTCGGAGTTCCTACGGAACCCAAAGCCAGTGAGCTCCCAAAAGGCCTCGTGCTAGGTAAGGATGAGAATATACATATAAAGATCACACCCCTGGGCGATGTGGGATGTCACAGAGTGGTTTATGTAACGTGTTTCCAAATATTCTTATTTTCTAATAAACAAAAACCATGAGTTATCGTGGGATTTATCTATTTTCAAATATCTCTCTATTTCAAGTCAAACATGTTGGATTTGTTGAAATATTTATAGAGTTATTATATATAGTGATGTGTGGATTATTTGGAATTGTTCATGGAGCATGAGAACTTTGGGGTTGCATTAATCCGAGGGATAAATGTAAACTGCACACGAAGATATTAGGGTAGATGGCCATTAGGGTTCACGTGGTGAGTTACAATTTATGAAGGATATAATGGACACATGAATGGACGATGTGATATGAAATTATGTCTCTAAAGCTTTGATATTATTATCCTATTTTATAGTGTGATTAAAATGGTAAGCTTGATTGGCATATTACTTATTGTACTCCCTGAGTGACGGTGGTTGTTGCTCACCCTCACCTATTATTTTACAAATGAATTATTTGGCAAGATGTGTTATTTGGCAAGACGGGTGTTAGAAGAGTTGAGTTTAGTTTTCGTTTTTTTCGTTTTTATTTTTACATTTATTCGCGCACTAAGCGCGGGGTTTTTTTTTTTCCGCCGACCTCAAGTTCTGGGTGTGACATGCCGCACCTTCCTAGGTTCTTGAGTCGATTCCTTCCTTGTTGGTAATGCTAACGTCGGGTACTTATTCGGTCCGTACAAGGCGCGCTCTCAAACGGGTTATGTATTTACCATTAGAGGCACCGCAATATCCTGGAGGTCAACCAAGCAGACCTTATTTGCCACTGCTTCGAACCATGCTAAGATTATCGCCTACATGAAGCTACTTGAGAATGCTTTTGCCTGAGAGCAGTCGTGGACCATATTAGAAGCACATGCAGACTTTCTTTCATCGTTGACATCCCTACAATGATCTTTGAAGATAATGCAGCATGTATCGAGAATAGGCATTTAATGCTAACTTTCCCTTCCCAGTTTATGTAGAAGTTCAACGCGCGAAATCCATGAGGCGCGCTACCAAAAGTACCGTATGTGAAAAGCTGACCTGGGAAAGCTGCGCCTTGGGAAGAAGAAACACTGCAGGTTTTAGAGTCTAGCCTTCTTACACCAAAATAGGTGGTAATAGGAGAACTAGGGAGAAAAAGGAGGGAGAAACAAGCCCTAACCAGAGATTCCTTGGGAAGGAATAATTCAACTACAAATATAGATTGAGAACCTTAAAAAGGGGATCGCCCAATCTTCCGGCATAACACAGAGAGCCAAAGAAACCCAAAGACATTACTCTGCAACCTTAGTATTTTCCATAACCTCCATCTGAGTATTCTAGTCATTGTAAGCCTTGATGCCACCCTAGGAAACCCAGATTACCCAACAAAAAACACCATATAATCACCCAATCTCTCTTTCATGAAAAAACAAATGAATTTCTAGCTTTAACGCCACGCTTCTTTTGATCAAGTCATTATTTTTCCAATTATACTATCTTTGAGTCATTGATCCAATCTACATCATATGACATTCATGCCCAATCTTTGGTTTTTTAAATCTTAGTGTTTTCTATGTTGCCAAATAACTATGCCCCGTAATTGGAAAATATATATGCCTCGTAATTGGAAAATTTTCAAGGAGAATTTTCAAGGAGAATTGATGAAAAGAGTAATTTGAGTGTAGAAAGAAGTTACATAAGTTCAAATATAACTTTTCTTTAGGATTTGTATGCGCATACAAATTATAATAGGATTGTAGTGGACGGTGTAAGTTATGCCATGTGTCAAAAGACAAGGATGATAAAGCGTTCATGAATCTCCCGATTCATTAAAAAAGGCAGAAACAAAAAGGAGCCGAGAGAGTAAACACAACAGGAGGGTTGTTCTTCGCGAGGCTCTGTCCTCTGTGGTGACTCTGCAACCCAGACTCATTCCGACGCTAGGTGAATTTTTTTTCCAGAATTTCCGAAATTTAACTCTCTTTTGGCGACCGATATATCGGCGACAGAGCCTGAAGAAATAGTCACCCTTTTTTCCAATGCCAACGGCTCAAAATTCCGATATATCGCCGAACGTGCCGGTTTCTACAAGATGGCTTGTAATTCAAGAAGCGAAATTGCAACTGTGGCTGGCGGGTCCTCTGATTGCAGTGAGCTTGTTGCAGTACAGTTTACAGGTCACAGCAGTCATGTTTGTCGGCCATCTCGGAGAGTTGGAACTTTCTAGTGCTTCCATGGCCTCTTCCTTTGCCAATGTCACTGGATTCAGCGTCTTGGTAAGTGACTTTCTCTTCAACATTTTGTTCAAATTTTCTTTTAATTGTTCCAGTTTGGGGCGGTGTTTAAACTTTTCTCCATTTGTCACGGTGGTTTGGGACAAACGCCAATGTGACGTTCCCGTTTCATGAAAGTCCTCGTGTTGGTTACGACGGATAATAAAAAGGTATTGTATTGTCCAAGTCTAGTTTGATCTAATTGTTATTGCATCGGACTGTTAGTGTATTCGACTCTCATTAGAATAAAAACATGAATACGATTTAATTCTTTAAGGCTCGTTTAGAAATGTTACTTAGGAAACGGATGCTTTTGCAGTAAGCATTTTATTAGAGGCCCGTAAAAAATTATCAAACATGTCTCACAGTTGGGAATGGGAAGTGCATTGGAAACACTATGTGGGCAAGCCTACGGAGCCAAACAGTACCGCATGCTTGGAGTCCACATGCAAAAAGCAATGCTAATATTATTAGCAGTAAGCATTCCCTTATCGCTAGTCTGGTTCTACACAAGCAACATTCTCATGGCTCTTCACCAAGACCACGAGATATCTGCCGCGGCAGGAACCTTCAACCGCTGGATGATTCCGAGCCTGTTCGCCTTCAGCCTCCTCCAATGCCTCAACAGATTTTTACAGACGCAAAACAATGTGTTTCCAATGATGATCACCTCTGGAGTCACAGCTTTGCTCCACGTTGGGGTTTGTTGGGGACTTATTTTTAAATCTGGACTGCGAAACAAGGGTGCCGCGTTGGCAATTAGCATTTCGCATTGGCTTAACGTGGTGTTAGTGGCAAGTTATGTGCTGTTCTCGCCCACCTGCAGGAAAACTTGGACTGGATTTTCGAAACAGGCATTGCATGACATTTTCAGCTTTGTCAAACTTGCCATTTCTTCGGCTGTAATGCTATGGTAGGTTTCATTTTCTGCTTAATCGATAGTACAAAATATCAAAATTGTCATGCGTACCAGAAATGTTGGATCCTTTTTTTTTTCTATCTGAATCACTGACTACATACACGCTTTCGAATTGCAGCCTCGAATATTGGTGCTTTGAAATGGTTGTTCTCTTATCCGGTCTTCTCCCGAACCCAAAACTAGAAACATCCGTGTTATCAATAAGGTACAGAAAGTAGAAAACTATAGAGAACTATTATTCGTTCACTCGTAAGTAAATTTGAATAGTTTCTGATTTTGTTGTTGTCTTTGCAGCCTTAACACATGTTGGATGGTTTATACGATATCAGTTGGCCTTGGCAGCGCTATAAGGTCGGTGATTCATGTGATTTCTAACGGCATATCAACATTCAATCTTGTACTTGTATTTATCTTCTAATCTGAGAAATTGAGAATAATATTTTCCTGTTATCGTAACAGCACAAGAGTGTCAAATGAATTGGGTGCTGGACGACCGCAAGGCGCAAAATTAGCTCTACGAGTCATGACTGTGATGGCTTTATTAGAGGGTGCTGCAATCGCAATAGCAACGGTTTTTATACGCCATGTTTGGGGAAAGCTCTACAGCAATGAGCATCAAGTGATCAAATATGTTGCTAAAATGATGCTACTGCTTGCAGTTTCCGACTTCTTGGATGGATTCCAATGTGTGCTTTCAGGTTCTAGCAATTACTGAATCCAATGGCTTCATGAAGTTTGAAACTTGACATATTCTACGTGCTTTATTTCTTTTCAAAATTCTGATTTCGCAGCTAAAAAGAATTAATAATTGGGTATGCAGGGGCTGCCAGAGGCTGTGGATGGCAGAATCTTTGTGTAGCCATAAATCTTATTGCTTATTATGCTGTGGGAATTCCTACTGCTGTGGTTTTCGCCTTCGTCCTCCATATTGGAGGAATGGTGAGTCTCTCTCTCTCTCTCTCTCTCTATGTATGTGTGTGTGTGTGTGTGTGTGTGTGTGTATCAGCCATTGAAGTTTAAATTTGTGTGTATAGGGACTTTGGATGGGAGTCATTTGTGGACTTGTTGTTCAACTAACAGCACTTGTGGTGGTAAATTTACGCACTGATTGGAATAAAGAGGTAAGTTCAGGACATGTCCTTCGTTTCACCTTGCTAATAGCATTTTGTCCATGTTTAATACAGTTCCTCATTTCAGGCAACGAAGGCTGCCAATCGTGTTCAGAATACCACCTCAGTCATCGACAGTACGACCTACGTAATTTGATGCGGCAGATCGAAGCTATCTTTTCTTCTGTTTTCGATAGAAATTTATTGTCATGAAATAACAACAATTCGGAAGCCAATTGGAAAAGAAAGAACTTCATTTGGGGACTTGCAGTGACGCTTAGGAAAGTTCAGTAACAAACCAAGCTCCAAACAAGTTGTTCCCATTTCCTAGGAGTCCTCGACTTCAAATAATTGCATTGCATTCTATTTTCCTATTTAACATCGAAAGAACACAATACAGAATCTGATTTACGAAATTCTTGTTGTCATGTGATGATATTGGCAAATATGCACTATTAGCAGCAGACTCCAATTAAACTAGCATGAGAAATACTTAGGAGATTCTCTTTGTCACGTTCCGATCCCGAGATATGTCCCGAATCAACACGTGACGTTATCAAGTATCCGTATGTCTAACATACCCTGCCTTTGGGATATGACAAAGTACAACTCGAGCATCGATTCACATAGTAATTTTTCGTGTACTTTATGGCTGCATATATCCTCCTCATAAGACTGCCTACGTACCCTAAACAAGGATCAAGTCATTCGTAGTTCGTCGTTTCACTACACTCGAACATTCATCACATAAATTGCTATGTCTCAACAATATACCACAATGCATATCATGCAATTTTCAAAGAACAAACGACGAAGCACAATCATATTCTCTAGTCATATTGGTTAACAAGTCTAATCATAATGCCAACAATCACAACCAATGTCGTTCCATAACCACATCATCAATGACACATACAATACACCGAAATGCAAGGTTAGAGCAACATAGTTTGGCCAAAGCCTACATCTCTGAAAAATAGGATTTCGGACCACTCAACGAAATCCAACAACATCAAGTTCCGGACCACTCAACGGAATCCAAACCAGGATACGATTCCGGACCACTCAACAAAATCGCGGAGTAGAAGGGATTCCGAACCTTTCAATGGAATCCGAGTGGATAAGATTCCAGATCACCCAACGGAATTGCGGAATACAATGCATATCTAACAACTGAATGAAATCCAAGCTAGATACAATTCTGGACCACTCAACTAAATCACGGATCACAAGGGATTCCGGACCTCTCAACGGAATCCATACGGAGCAGGGAACCAGACCACTCAACGGAACCCCAGCGTATACTCAGTTCCGGATCACTCAATGGAACCAAGTGGAAGGCCAAGGAATATAGCAACGCTCGAAGAACAAGATATGAAACAAGTACTCAAAATACAAAAACTCAAAGAAACAAGAAATGGAACAAAGCACAAGGTACACAATTAAAACAGCTCAACGAAACAAGAAATGAAATAAGATACAATATGTGAAACAAGTCTCGAAGCAAGAAACCCCATGACAATGGGTTCATGGTCCACTACTAGCCCTTACATTTCATCACATAAGGCCAAATATACAAATCAAACCATATTTCCAATATGCACGTCAAATCACATTTCATCACCTCATGCCAATCATACAATCAAAGCACAATTCAAATATACACATCACATCACTTCTTGTAAATGTTTTCAATCCACAATCAAATCACCATTCACATATGTAAATCAGTAACAATAAAATAAAATAACAATTCAATATAAATCATCTATATTATAGTCACTTGTACGTAAATCAAGACACACGTCGTCGCAATTAGCCCACTAAGCCTCATGAAATCTCAACCCCACTCTAAGATAACTGTCACGTTAGAAGAACTCGGGCTAGTTGACTAAAAAGCCAATCGTCGATCAAGGTCGAGAGTAGGGTCCACAACCCTAGAAATCTAAAACAGAGGATCTGTCTAACAGATTTCCAATCCATAACTTCCCAAAGTCCATATTATGCTTCTAAAACAGCATACTAAAATTTCATTACGATCCAACGGTCGGACTTCTGCCAATCATGAATTCAAGTGGCAGTCGACATTTTATTTTTACGAACGTACAAATCCAATTCGGGAAGATCCGTAAGTTGGATTCTCAATCCGCCATTTCCTAATATAATCAAATATTATGTTCTATAACGCATTAAAGTTTAGTGATGATCCAACGGTCGAATCGTCGAGTCATATATAATCAAGTGACGTATTGTAATGGAAATAGGTTCAAACAATCAAATTTCATCAAGCGGGTATCAAATCCAAAATCAGGGCATCCAATTTAACTTATAAAGGCATTGTCGGCCCACTGGCCACGCGCCGTCGCAGGTGGCGGTCGGCCGCCCCGACTTGCCGGAAAATTCAACTAATTCCAAAAATTACCAAAATTCATAGAATTGTAGATCTCAAAGAGTAGAGAAAGTTTTATACATGTGGCCAAGTCCAATTTGGCCAGGAAAAGCTCTAATTTCCCTCGAACCCACCGGAAACCCTAGAAATGGGTGGCTTCGATCCGTCACCTCTGGTGCTCCGCCGCCCCTACAGTTGTTTGGGCCAGGAGCGTCTAATGGTGGTGGTAATTGGAGGAAAGCGCTTCACATTTGGCGGATCTCTGCATGGTTCCTCACGGCACCCACGGTGTAAACCCTCGTGAAATCATAATCAATTTTCGTCGATTTTAGCTAGAATTGGATGTTGTGATGTGGTGATGAAGTTTGGTGGTGATGAGAGGTTGAAGAAAGCTGGAAAATTGGACAGAATAGAGGTCGGAATAGTCACGGAAGGTGGGTCGGGTCACGGGTACATGGGTCACAGAAGGGGGAAATCCCGCTGGGTGTTTCTCACCCAACTCTCTCCTTCCCTTGGTTCACATCCTCCCCTTCCTTTTTCTGATTGGCCGCACCCCACCCTCATTTCTCTTCTTTTCTTTCAATCCCAGCCATCCATCCCTTTCCTTTCTCCATCATAGCCATCCACGTGGCCTTTCAGATTTTGTGGAGCATTCCATTTTTATGTCAAATGACCATTTCGCCCATAACTTTGCTCATTCATAACTTATTCGTTATAACTCCGTTTCATGAATGGTTTGAGCCCACACATTCGTGAGATCGACCTCTAATTAAAAATATAAATTGTGGCCTTGAAAGGTCTATGGATTTTAGATAATTAATTTTCAAACTTCAAACTTTGTAACTAGTTTATTAAAATCTAAATTCAAATAAATTAATATAAATTTTCGAAAAATAATATAAAATCTCAATAATATATGTACGTAGATTATAACAGTGAAATCTAGGAACAGGATTTCACACTCTTAGCTAAAAGTGGGACTCTCTACAACTTTATATCTTTGACACAATTTTTTTATAACATTAGTAAAAAAATTAACGTTAAACTACGAAGTACTAGAAAGTTTCACTTTTGAGAGCCCAGAGCATTTCTCAACCAGCATTACTTTATATATCAATGATGGCCCCATTATTGGTGTGCCAAAGTCCTAATCATACAACCTTAAACCTTCGGCTGAATCAAAAGGCTATTAAAAATCAATAAAGGAAACAGCTCAATGCCCAAGCTCCTGGACGTTAACAGTCCCAGTCAAACAAAAAGAAAAAGAAGAAAAAGACGTTGACTATCAATTTATTTTTGGCTGCCGTGTCGCTTGTCATATACGTAGTGGAAGTTGGAACTCAGTCGTTCATTCCCATTACGTCTTTGACTTCATTAGAGTTTAATAGCGCGTTTACATACTCGTAATGGAACTCGAAATACGAAATTGAATTTCGATTACGGAATATTTCAATGTTTACTAAATTTAGAGGAATTGAGTCTCACAAATTTTGGAATTCAATTCCTCCTTTTGGAGGAATTGGACTTCTGAGATCTATAAGGTATTTCAATTCCGCTTGCAGTAGGGAATCCGGAATACAAATTTTGTACCACTTATATCCTCACTTTATTTTTAAAATTCCAGCACTACCCTTTGCATTAACACAGAAGATCCACCCGCCACTGTCTAACGCTAATGTCCAGGGCCACTCCCTCCCCCAACACTGCAACCACCCATGCCCAGCGACGCAATCCAAACCCACTACTCCCACTTTCCGTCATATCTCTATGTTTCCTCAAGAAAATTTTGAAATCAAAATGCACTTGGTTAGAGAGAGAGAGAGAGAGAGAGAGAGAGAGAGAGAGAAAAGAAGAAGAGAATGAGGGAACGAGGGAGTTACAGTGGAGTTTATTTGCTATCAAATGCCCAAGACTTGAAATAGATAAACTTGAAATCATAGTGGAATGGATTGAGATAGTAAGAGGTGGCGGTGAGGAGTGGGTTATTCGGGAAGAGAAAGATAAGATTGGTTTGGGGTTGAGTTATTTTTTATTTAAATAAATATATGTTCACTTTATTTTTATGAATTATTATATCAAATTTTGTTATATAGATTTTGAATAAGGATATTTTTGTAATCATATTGAATTATATTCTGATTCTAGTGAATTAGTAAACAATTAAATGGAATCAATATTTTTTTACTCCGATTCCAGAAAATTTAAGTAAACAACTTCAAAAAAATCCAATTCCAACTCCTCCTCAATTCAATTCCTCTCATTTTGATTACGGATTAGTAAATGAGCTATAAGAGTAGGGGTGGTTCGGTATGAAATCTCAAATCGAAAATGAAATCCCAAATTTCAAACTCAAAATTTCGGGACCGAAATTTAAGACCAACCTCGAACCAAAATTTCGGTATTCCCAATTTTTGGGATTCCCGAAATATTTTTAGTATTTCGGGATGGTTCAGTATTGTCAAATTTCATACAAATTGAAATACCAATCATTCATACCAAGTCAAATTAACATGCAACCAAAATAAAATAAGTTAAGTAACAAACCTAAAAGCAAAAGGATAAGTTACAAACCTGATATGTTTGGAAACTAATAATATGATTTTTGGATTTCGTGTTAAAGAGATAGGCACATTTGGTTAAGAAGCAGTAGTGCAAGGTGGGTGTGTGTGGGAGGTTCGTACCGGCAGTTGTGGCGATAAAGGGCTATGGTTACTACCTTTAGACCAAAGGGAAGAGTTAAAATTCTGGAAATCCAAAGGTTGAATGGTAGCGTTGAACAAATGGAGTACATGACTATGGTTACTAACTGTAGGCCACACCAATTATACTGCTACTAGTAGTTTGCAACAATTCAAATGTCCTCCTTTCAGTACTTGAATTCAACATTCAACTTCTGGTTCTGTCCCTGGGAACTGGATCTGCAAAGAAGGATGCGATGCTGCAAGTCGGAAATCCCAACGAATGGGGAATCTTGAATTGGTTCATGAATTCAAAAAGAAGCGGTATCCCTTTAATTGATGTTCTTACGACTCCAAATGT